GCTGTTCGGAAATAACCTCTACTTGAATTGTCGTCTTGGCCTGCTGGACTCGGCTCATCGATGGACGACAGCAAGCGCATGTTCGATGAGCACATGTCGATGCTGAAGGAGAAGATGGCCAAGAAGGCCGCTCGGCAGGAACAGATGCGCCTGGAGAGAGAGGCCAAGCGCAAGGTATACAAGTCGCTGCCGTAGCACATGCACAAGTGTGTTTCTTGAGAGGCCAAGCGCAAGGTATACAAGTCGCTGCCGTAGCATATGCACAAGTGTGCTTCTTGTTTGGCTTCAGTCGTATTTTCGTTCACGGGCTCTTGATCGGTATTGAGTGTCCTGTACCTCTCGGTGAGTTGCGTGTTTGGCTGGCTCGTTAGTTGGGGTGCTGCCGTCAGGTGCAACTGTGATATTAACAGCAGTAGTAGACTGTTGTGCCGAAACGAGTTGTGTATTGTGTGTTGTGTGTTGTTTGATGAAAGACGCACGTGTCGGACGCTGTGTATCATACATGATACAACTGTACCCTCCCCGAGGATGCCTGAGATATGTGCATGTATTGCGTGTGCGTTCACGTGTCTACAGACCGCGATTTGTGATTGGTTTCCGTGGGTCTACTGCATCAGAAAGCTGGCAGAAAGAGAAGAGCAGGTACTGGGTCATCCAGTAAACAATGTAACGAATCTGGTTATCTGCTGGGTGTCCAACATGTTCCTGAACATTCGTACCTGCTGTAACGAATGTGTGCCGTCTTTTGGCCGATTTGACACATGACACACCCAGGAGCGCGAGGAACGCGAGAAGGAGGAGCGCGACAGGCGCTCTTCGAAACGGGGGCGGTCATCGTCTAGATCCTACTCGGACAGGTCCTACTCCAGATCCAGATCTCGCTCGCGCGGCAGCAGCAGAAGCGATCGGTGAGGGGGCAGGGATACTACAATTTTCCCCCCAGAATTGTTCGAGAAGCTGCAAAATACTTTATTTTTATGGCTGTGCGTGCGCTGCGGATATTTGGCGGACGTATGTTACTTAGGGTCCATATTAGGTTCGTATACCTTTTTTGGGTAAGTTTGCCTGTGACCATGGGAATCGACCCCGTCAAGTGTTCGACTAGTACGGACAGAAGGAGGTACTGGGCAGAGAGAACGGGACGGTTTGTAATGTGAAGACAACAGCAACAACAATGTTTCACCTCGCCCGATGACGTAGCTCTTATATTTCCTCCGGTCCTCGACCATTTGCTGGCCGATGTTGTGAAGTTTGCACGCGTAGCAATCCACGTTGTTGATTATGTTTGTAAATCTCTTGGAACAGCATGCCACTCCTTGCTGTTGCTCTCTTTGGTACACTTAGCACAGAGGGGGGACGGCGCCACCTCCAGAGGGGAGGCACAAGCGTTAGTATTGAGACTCAATTCTCTGCTTTGAGTGGATCCCAGGGAGTTGCGGTTCCCGCCAAAGTTGTTTACCTTGTTCGAATCCTTGTCTCGATTCCCGTGGTTTTCACACTACCATGTTGTGATGGTGAGTGCGTTGATGTTCACCACTGTTGTTGGAAATAGTGTTGGAATACCGCCAAGTGTCCATACGGAATAACCCCTAGTGTCAATTGGTTGTTTGGTGTCAATCGATTACAGGGCGGCACTGTCTCAAACATCCGAACATTCGAAGATTTGAGAGTATGTCTAGCAGAGGTGTGATCTTGAGGCAACACTCAACTGAATATTCGAAGATTCGAAAATGGAGATTTTGTTTAGCAGAGGTTGGATATGCTCAAGGCGCAGTATTCACGCCTTGCGCGCGGTCGGAGTCAGAGGCATGATGTGATCGCTCCGACAGGGTATCGTTAATAATACTTGTAACAAAAATCAGCACGTCATGTCAGCTGGCTAGGCCTCAATGGACGAAGGAACTAAGTCGTCAGTCGATACACGTGGTTCATGTGATACATACAGCCGCTACACCTACCCGTGTAGATATCACTCTGGAGCCGCCACTCCACTGCAAATACGCTATATTGTCGTGTGCATGTTCTCCCTCGAGCCATCCCCCATGTCCGCACTTGTTTTGTGTTAACATTTGTGTTAACAGCAGGTCGAGGTCTCGTTCGGTGTCGAGGTCCCGGTCCCTGGACTCGAGGGGCCGCTCCAGAGACCGCAAGCACCACAGCAGCAGCCACAAGAAGTCGAAGAAGAGGCACAGGAGCCGCTCGCCCGACTCGCCGTACCAGTCTTACTCGGCCCCCGTCGAGAAGCACAAGAAGGTAAGGAAGGTGTCTAAATGTGTGTGTCGACGCGTGCGGGAGTATTTTAGTCTTGACGTGACGGAAAGTAAAGTAGCGTTGACTGACTGGTTTATGTCAGTATCATACTCCGTTAGTAGAATACCGGTGCTGGCTAGGGTAGGCAACTTTCAGCAGTGGAAAGTCGATCAGCCAGTCGGTATGGATTGGGTGTTGTCTGGAGCCCCTAAAAGCACTAATCGCAATCCTTAAACTCTGTGAGGTTGACAGGATTGGATCCCCGCTCCTTCATAAGAGGAACATGTGAACAAGTTGTAAGTATTTCTGGTAGTCTTGCCAGAGGACGAAAGGCGGAGGTTTGTCTCATGTTCATAAATGTCACCTGAATGTGTGCAGCAGTACTCCCCAAGCCCGGCGCTACTCTCCACAAGCCCACCTGACAAACGGTACTGATTGCATGAAAATGGAATGGAATGGATAGCGTGACTGTGACGGAACTACGGAACCACAGGAGGAGGAGAAGCAACTGCTAGTGTGCATTCTTCATGCGCTTGTGGTCATGATTTGTTTGGTCACTCGACGCGCAGGAGCACAGAAATCCAGAAAACCAAAATGCAATGTTCGGATAGATGGGTGGGTAGGTTCCCCATGACTTGTGCTACTGGTGAGAAAAACACATTTGCCTTGTTTACTGTACAACTGTATCGGAACCGTGTTTAGTTAGTGTTGTGGTGATGTAGATTTGACGCCTGCTGACAGTCTGCTTGTGTTTTGTTTATACCGCGACCGGTTTGCAGGAGAAGAAGAAGTCCAAGAAGAACAAGAAGGACAAAAAGGACAAGCGCGACAAGGACAAGGATCGCCACTCCTCCAAGCACGGCGACAAGGAGAGCAAGGACAAGCATGCCTCCGCGGCAGCCTCCAACTCCCGCAAGGACTCTATGGCTGTCGACTCTGCCGATGATGAGGAAGGTCAGGTTGACGTTAACAAGGGCAAGAAGGAGAAGGAGAATGGCGAGGGGGCCTCTCCTGCCACCAAGCGACCGCGCGTTGGAGCGGACAAGGTGGCGGATGCTGGTGGTGATGGTCATGGTGATGGTGGAGACGGTTCTCGGGAGAAGAGGGTGGCCGCACTGGAACGCGCGCACAAGGTGGAAGAGAACGGGAACGGTAGCGCCCCTGTCCCCTTGTGAGCTATAGTAGTTGTCACAGAATCTGTAGCAAACCCGCAGTCGGCCAGTGATCGATCGACCGGTTTTTGATGGGTGCCATGTTCGGGGTTGGATCGGTTCGCTTGCTGTATTCTAGGTGGGCGGGGGCTGGGGAGGGGGCGGGTTGATGCTGTGCGCTTTTTGTTTTTGTTTGCTGCGGGTGTGGTCTGAGTGAAAGAAAGGGGAGTTTGTGACTCAAATGTTGGAGGTACCAAAACCAAACCTGACACGATGAGGGGGTGGGGCGGGGGCGGCTCGGACATGTAGACCGAATCACTCGTACAGGGTCTTTCATCAGGGCGATGCTACGATACACACTGGATGGTTTGTTTTCGTGGTCTGTAGGTTAAAGCACTAGACAGCTGGCGTTGACTTCTCTTTTGGTAAAAAGTGTTGGATGCGCGGGATAATCCAAGCTCTCCGGGCAAGCGTGGTGTTGATGAAGGGCCGCGCCATTTGTGACCATGCCTAGTACGATGAAGGGCGGGAAAACTGGCTGAAGGTGGACATCTTTCGTATCAGCCTGTCGTGGGGTTTTACATGAAACGAGTAACGGCGGATAGGATGTAGTCATGCACAGGCTTTGGGTATAGCATGGAGACAGAAAAATTGAGAATATTTGTGACACTGGTGATGATGTTATGTCGTGTTTTGTGCACGTTTTCCAAGGGTTTCCGACCCTTGTTGGTGCATCTCAATAATCTCAGTCATCTCAATCATCCTTGCTCGGGGACGGACGATCCAGGCAAACGCTTCATATGGTTCATATGGTACACGCAGCAGGGTTGGCGTTACAATTTTGGTGAATCCAGCAACGACGCTTGAAACACAGCACTCACAACGGCTTCTGAGTGGAACCCTTACGGACGCGAACTGCGCCATTGAGGGTGACAGTACCAAGTCATGGCGGTATGGTGGAGGGAAAAGCTTGGCTCACCCTCGTCACGACACGGTGTGCCGCACAGCAGGTCAGGTGTTCGAGTGCACTCTAAAGGCTGTTTACGGTTTCGATCAGTGCCGGCAGGACGTGTCACGTATAAACCAGGCGCGAGCCTGCACTTTGTGTTGGGCAAGAAGATGGATGAGTGGATAGACCAAACAATTGGCAACGAGATATCCCTCTCCATCGTCGCGAGAGGCCTTCGATCGAACGGGTTCAGCGTGTACGTGTGCTGGTTGCACCGGGCCTTACACCGACACCTCATGACGTCACTCAATGAAAACTTGTGCAGAAGGCAGGCGCACGCTACTGTCGTGTCACCGATCTCAAAGGATACAAAGAGATAAACGGTTTCCGGAAAGAGAGAAACATTCGGTCGGCAAGGTCAAAAACCAAAACCCAGTCACAAAACATTAGCAGAACCAGTAGACATGAAAAGCAAGTATGCTGCGTTGTGCTCTTGCCTCTGAAGATCCCAACAGTGCACAAACAGCGATGCGCGACTCCATTGTATCCGCCACACAAGAGCAAAGCCTTCTCCGACATTTGACATTTGATGCTGCTATCCCTCGCAGGTGTAGACTAGTTGTGCAACAGCAACAGCAACACGGTTTGTCTCGCAAGCACGGCTTCCCTCGTGCTGTTGTGCGCGCTACTGTACTCAATCTACTCAATTTCTGGGCTCAGGGCACGGCAGCAGCAGTTTCCGTCACCCACCGGCTACGTTTCATCAACCAGCGCCAACCCTAAGGGAAACAAGCGCACCCTAGCCGTTATCCAATGACACAGGAGGTAGCTGGCTTCTCGGCGGCTTTGCGATCGAAGAACGCCTGCAGCTCTCGCTCGTACGAGAACGTTGCGGCCGCGTCGGGGGCGAGGTCATGAACCACCAACTCGTCCCCAGCGCCGGAGAAGATCTTTCCTCCAGCCTCTTCGCCGAACCGGAATCGCGCCAGCACCTGTTGTCCAACGGTTCAATTCAGACATCTTTGACAGCTGTGTGTGCAGCACTTGGCTACTCTTTTCAAGCTGGGCACACGTGAAAATTCGGAAAATCAACTTCGCATGATCAAGTACACCAGCTTCTAGACCTTAGGTGGGACTTGAGCAATGGCAGCGTGCGGCGTTCTACGCTCTTGGCAACCTCCAACCCTTGGCTTAGAAATCACATGAAGTATGTCTATGGGCTCAATCAAGCGTTGATACCCTTCATTCTCTCCATTGCGTCGCCCGATAACTGAACAAGTCTTCGGGTATTGCCCTAAATTCACCTGCGCGACAAGGTCGGCGATGAACTGCCCTGAAACGTTTGACGGCTCGATTGGCGTGGATCCGTAGTGTCTCTTGTTGTTGGGGTCGAAGGTCCTCGACAGGTCGATGATCGGCAGGTGGAACTCCACAGCCAGCTGGGCGCAACAAGCCGGCGACAAGGGATAGACACAACACACAGCAGCCCCGTGTTCGATCGGCATACGAGAAATCCTCGGCAACCAGAATGATCGACTGGCTTTCGTTGGCATCGTGTAAACAACGCGTGTCATAATGAGTGTATGAGTGGACAAGTTGTGCATGCAATCAAGGCGTTTCGCCTCTCGGGTGCCGTTGAGGGCGTGTGGACATCCACATATCTGTGAGCTTTGACAGACTGGTCGTCCGTAAAACATGGCCACAAACGCTAGGAGGAAGGCGTCGAAGACAAACATAGCAGGCACGTTGGATTTGGAAAGGCGCTTTATGATTTGGACGGGCGTAAAGCTGCGGCCGGGTATGGTTTTGAAGGACTGCCCTTTCGTCAATATCCGCTGGACATATCTCTGGAACATGATGAATTCGCCTCGACAAACACGCCAGCACTACGAATGCTTGGGCTAGAGTCAGCCTGGGAAAACATGCAACGAGTCGGTGCTCGGGCCTAGTGGCTTGGGATCGACTTTACAAGCACCGCACATGGCGGAGTAAGGTCAAGGGTTGAGCGGCACCGCTCTCCAAAAAAACGTTTGCGGCGGTTTGAGCACAATCTTTCGCCAAGAACAGGTATTCATAGAAGCATGGTTTCGCGAGTTCAAGTATCCCAGATCGCAGCAGTTGCGAGAAACGGATGTCAAACCCTGCACAACATAGCGAAACATCGGCATATCGTCAAAGTACGTAGCCTTTCTCCAATCATTTAACACGGCAAACAAGCCGCGCCCTCCACATATCCGATCAATGTTGTTCACCTCGATGAAAAACTTGGAGAAGTTCACAAGTAGGCGTTGTAGGATCCGTGCCGGTGGCAGCATGCTCAGCAGAGGGAAAGTCTTGAACTCGGGCATATATCTGACGAACCAACGAAAGTGAGAGGAAACGTGTATGACCGCCGGGCTATAGGAGGGCTTTTCTACAAAGTAGCAGTAGCCATTCGGTTCCTTGCTCTGAGGAAATCGTCGCGATCGAAAAGAACCTGGAACGGGAGATGTTGCAGATACCAACGACACCACCGGATGCCAACACAGACTTGCATGTTCGTCGAAACTCACACATACACGAGGATGATGTTGTGTGTTATCTCGTCCCGAATAGTTTCCACCACCCGGCGGAGGTTGGCCACGAAGCCGTCGGTTATCATGAGCTCTGTAACCACATCCGGGTTGCGGGATTGCAGGAAACGGATGCGGGCATCGTTTCCTCCGATACTCAGCACCTGCAATGATTGCACAGCGGTCGAGACGAAATGTACAGGCCGGGTTCTGTGATCGTCTGAAGAGCAACCGGGCTTTCAGGTTCCTTACGTAGTTAACCAAGCCTCGTTTTAAAAATGGCGGCCAGCCAGAGTGCCACAAAAAGAGCAGCCTTGGATCCTACACAAGAACACTCCCGGCCTGCGGCATGGGGGCGGTTGAATCCTTGGGATGTTCAGCGTTGGAAACACTAACAATTCGGCGTTCCGCGATGTCGCAGACGCGGTCTGCACAATCCCAGCAGGTAGACAGGTGCGACCTTGAACCCCCCTTGTTTACAACGCGTAGAGTGAGCGTGCACGTTCGCCGAGGCACCCACTTACCACGTGTGTAGGTTTGGCTTCGCGCAAGAGCTTCAATGGTCTCACCACGCCATCCTCTTCCACCGGGTACGGCTCCATCCTCGCTTTTCTGCGTCCATTCCTGTAGTGGGCTGGTCAAACGAAGGACAAAGGACGTCCCATCGTCACCGCTGTTGTTGCAGCAGCAGCAGCAGCAGCAGAAGCAGCAGCAGCAGCAACACTCACCTTCGTGCGGTTTAGCGACCTGCATACGTAGTCAGTCTCCACAAACCGCACGTGACACGTGTTAGCTCGAGAAATTAACACCTTGATGCTTCACACAGGTAAGTTTAGAGGGCACACACCTACTTTTGTCATATAAGTAGTTTCACAACCGCAATGTTGCATCCCCTACGACCCTGGTGCGAATGTTATTTAATCTTCCACAACGATGACGACAACGAATACCCATGTAGGACTATTGTTGCACATCTTCAGAGCCGACTGCTGAAAGGCGAACGAAAAAACACCCCTTTTCCTCACGTACACCGCCGACACGCGACACACCTGCTGGGGCACGCCCTCGTAAGACACACGAGATGGTCGATTCATCGACAGCGAAATTGTCCACTCGAATGCTCCGATCCGGGTAGGCGATCTTGAGGGTCCGTTCAGTTTGTGCGCGAACGTCGTTTGCAGGGTGATCGAGCCAGTAGTGGTCATCTAAGACGCTGTCTCCTACGAGCGCGACATTCAGATCGGACGTATCCATCTACACGACGTACCCGACGCAGAGGTACACTTGCTGCTGTTGTTGCCGTCGCTCCTTGTACACTGAACTGGTGCAAACACGACAACGAACGTGCGAGGATGGAATCGGTGGGGAACCAGATCTATTGATTTCGTCTCTAACAACTGAGAGAGGCATGCACCTCAACACCAAGACCAGCCTAGGCGTGTTCCTATGGCTTCATTTGTGCGAATTGCGAGAAGAAGGGCAAGCAACAAGCAGCCAGAGGTCGCAATTCCTCCGCGTTTCTCGCGCACGTCCTGACAGTTCCGCGACCGACAGCTCAAACGCCGAACCACCCTGCACCGTGCACCTCGTCATGCACGAAACATTCAACGCAGGCACACACGCACGCGCTGACGAACCTGCCGTCGACGCCAGACGCGGATAGTGAGTGCCCCCTACTGGCTTTGCAGCGGCGGCGTTGCTTCGCGCCCACCATACCACACCAAAACACAAAGCATTGTTGCACAGACTATCATCCTTCGCGATAGGTGTACTAGTACAACTACAACTGCATTGTAGCACAGCAGTGCTCTGTCTGGCGTAGACGATGCTGAAACCCGGGCAAAGAGCATCTGCGCTGGCTGGCCCTTGGCATGCGGCGTTGCTCCTGCTCCTGCTGTCTAGCCTGCGGCAGCTCGGTTTCTGTTCCGCTCTCCGGGTACCCTCACCACACCGCTCCAACTTCAAGATGTTCAAGGCAAGATACCCGCTGGAAGGGGGCCCACCGCAAGTGAAACTACACGTCGCCATCATCGTGGAAGACCCTCGAAGCACAGGCAAGAAGGGCGGTCGACCAAAGAGCGAGGGTGGCGACACCGGGCGACGCTTGGTGCTGTTCGATTTCCTGCCCAAAGAACCAACGGCGTTCGAAACAACGCTTCGCTTGCTGACGGGAAACGACGTGCCGGGGAACCTGAGAGAGCGGGAGCTTCGATTCCTGCCTCCCGGGGCGGTGTACGTGGGGGAGAGCGATGCGACTATTGGTGAAATGCGAGGATTTGTCGCAAAGTATCCCGATCGTCTGTCGCTGGTATCGAACAATTGCTTTTCATTTGTGGATGCCTTTATTGCAAGGCATCGCCTAGAGTAGGTTATTTTTAG